TTGAAACAAATTAGGAAAAAAATCTTTTCATGAAGGATTGATTTATTTTTGGTATCGGGGGGGGGGGGGGGGGGGGGGGGGGGTATTTTATGGCAATGCATGGTAAAGACTTGCCAAGGCAGAAGAAAAACTAAATAAATCAATAAATAAGTATAATTTACGTGTGTTTACCTAAAATTTTGTGGTAATGTGTTTAATCGCAAAAATACATGTATAAATAAATATTGTGTGGTATGATTAGGTAATTAGTTCATTATAATAGTTACATCAGCAAAATCAAGACAAATATATATAGTTGAATCATTTGACAAACTTATGAATAAATAATAATGGTAAATAAACTGTTGACACAGAGATATGTCTAGACTGTCGGCATAAAATTCAGAAAAAGACAATCTGATGGACAGCAACATTGCTTATTAATTCAAAGTCGCTGGACCAAGTAGTGGGTAGGGCCTCGAAATGGTGGATAAACTGAGATGTACAAGCTGCAATGTAACTTTATAGAAAATATTGTCTAATGTAAGTAGTTCCTATCAAACTAACTTAATCATAACCTAGGGGGCAGGACCTTAAAATAGTCATCAAACTGATATGTACTGATAGTAATGCAACTTTATAGAAAATATCATTGATCTATCGCAAGTAGTTGATATCAAACTAACTTAAGCAGAAAACTTATCATTGAAAATTGCTAATTAATTGAAAGTCACTGAACCATGGCCTAGGGGGCAGGGTCTCAAAATAGTCGTCAAACTGATATGTACTGATAGCAATGCAACTTTACACAAAGTATCATTGATCTATCACCAGTAGTTCCTATCAATCTAACTTAAACAGAAAACATCACATTTAAAATTGCTAATTAATTCTAAGTCACTAGACCATGGCCTAGGGGCAGGGCCTCAAATTGTCATCAAACTGATATGTACTGATAGTAATGCAACTTCATACAAAATATCATTGATCTATCACAAGTACTTCCTATCAAACTAACTTAAGCAGAAAACTTAACATTGAAAATGGCTAATTAATTCAAAGTCACTGGACCATGGCCTAGAAGGCAGGCCTCAAAATTGTCATCAAACTGATATGTACTGATAGTAATGCATCTTCATCAAAAATATCAATGATTTACCACAAGTACTTCCTATCAAACTAACTTGAGCAAAAAACTTAACAATTGTTGATGCCGTCATCACAGCCGTCGCCGGAAAAGGAATCCCTAAAAAACCTAGGCAGTCTAGACTGGGAGGATATTTTTATCACTTAAAAGTTTACTTGTATAATTATTTTATTAGTTGGAGCCAGGGGTTCCAGTAGAAGTACGCTTTTTGCAATGCATTATTTTTATAAATATGATTTTTCAATAATCAAATTTTCTTTAAGATAATGTTTTAGTGCTACAATATTTACTTGTGTATACCTAAATTGACCTGTTAACTGTAAAATGAAATAAAAAGCTGTGTGCAAACGTAATGTTCATTTAACACAAATGTAAATAAAAGCAAGCAAATGTAAGGCACCTTAGTTAATATACCTGAAATGTTTTGACAACAATATATTCCTAATTGTACCCAGTAAATTCAATTAGTGAAATTCATCATAAGAGATTTAACATAATCCACCATTAATACAAAAAAAAAACCTGAATTCTATGTGATCAATAGGACATTTATGAACATTGTTTATTGTGCAGTAATCTTTTGTGTCATTTTTTATCATCATTATTTTTACATTTACATGTATTAATGGAAAGAGAATAAACTGCTTCGCTGAGCGCAGCTGGATACGCCCCCAGAGGTCCAACCCTGAACAGTTGGGGCAAAAATGGACACAATATTCAAGCTTGATACAGGTCTGAATTTGGATTGTAATTAAATATTTGAAATATTATAGGTTTCTGAATAAATGTAGTCAAAGAACTTGAAATTGGTTATATGTATTGAATTTATCTTCAATTAAAGATTTCTTGCTGTTGTGCAATACTTAGTAAATCTGTTGTCAGACTATAAACAAATAAAGTTCAATTTCTTCTCAATGTCATATTTGAAATTTATGAAAATCAATAGGGAGATTACATCAATAGCTATAAATAATTCACCAAAGTTTCATGAGAACTGCTGAAAGCATTTTTAAGTTATTGTCCAAAAACTGGAAAATCCCCCCTTTTTTAATGAATAAAACCCCATAACTCAGAAATGTAAAATCTAAAATTTATAAAATTCTAAAGGGAGCTTACATCAACAGATATAAACAATTCACCAAAGTTTCATGAGAACTGCTGAAAGCATTTTTTAGTTATTGTCCGAAAACTGGAAAATCCCCCTTTTTTTATGAATAAAACCCTGTAACTTGGAAACGTAAAATCTAAAATTTATAAAAATCCAAAAGGGAGCTCATGTCAATAGATATAAACAATTCACCAAAATTCCTTGCAAGTTGGTGAAAGCATTCTTGAGTTATTGTCGGAAAACTGGAAAATCCCCCCTTTTTTAATGAATAAAACCCCATACTCGGAAACGGTTAATCTGAAATTTATAAAAAACGAAAGGGAGCTCACGTCAATAGATATAAACAATTCACCAAAGTTTCATGCATATTGGTTAAAGCTTTTTTGAGTTAATGTCCGACATGTTGACGACGGACGGTCGGACAGACGGTCAACAGTATACCATAATACGTCCCGTAAATGGGCGTATAAAAACTAATTTTAAATACTTGAAATTAAGTTTTTTATGCAATGTTATTATTGTTGCGAAAATTGCAAGGATAGAATATGCAATAATAAAAACTTCCATTTTTTATTTTTTGTATGCAACTTAATTTCTGAAATCTTAATCATCAATCTCACATTTTTGTCCATTATTCAACAATCACAATTGTGAATGCATGCAAAAGTTTCTGAATTTACAGTATACCACATCAAAAGCTGTTTATAACTATTTTACTGTTCAGCTTTTTTTTTGAGAGATTTCTGAAACATCAAGAAATTTTGGCATATACATCCCAAGGTTTCTTATCAATTCAGGCAATACACCATTTGTATAAACAATATGATATTTGATTTATCCTCAAAGTAGAGGCTTCAAGGAGCCTGTTATGCTAACATGGCATCTATCTATAATATTAAATCAATCTTAGCACCAGGCCTTGAGGTCATAAAAATTTCAAGTACAATTATCGTACTCAGACTCAGAATTTTACCAATCAAAATACTGAATTTGGTGTTTTGAGCACTAACTTTGTACTCCAAGTCCTGAGTATAGTATAGTTTTACGACCAAAGGCCCAGGAATATAAAATGTTGTTCTCCAGTGGTCTGTATAACTATGTTTTTACAGTGTTTAAACTTTATAATATTGTAATGATATATTTGTAGTTTTTAAGTATTCTGGTAATGTTTACAAGTTTATTGACAATATATAACTAATATGTAACATAAAGCTTATAACAAAAAAGAGTATTTCCATCAATCATATACATATATAAAAAGATTACATTTCTATTTCTTCAAATTAGTTAATTATTTGAAGAATCTTTTAAGCTTTATATAACTCATTATTTTGATTTATGATAAATTAAAATAAATAAATAAAAAGTATTTAAAACGATTTAAAAAAAAAAACAATCGCTGAGATCAATTCATACCTTCTAATTTATTTACAATAAAAGGGGACAATCTTTAAAACCTCATACAGAAAAGTTGCACAAGCTAGAACAACTATTTAAGTCATATGAAACTCAATCAGATTGAAAACTATATATGATCTGAAATGACTAATTACAGATATACATAAAACTGTCCATAGGACACCATGCCCCACTAGCACAGTCATATATCCATATTCAGTAATGGCGAAATCTGGGTCAAAACCAAATCTGGCAAATATCTTTAAAAGTTCACATCATAATCAATAAGTTTTCTAAGTTTCAAGTTGATGTCACCACAATTTCATAGAAAACTACCTTAAGCCAAAACTTTAACCTGCTATGGGATGGGCAGATGACAGGATAACAAAATGTCTACCCTCCCCCTTACAATTGAACATGGGCATAAAGAGTCAGCTCTATATATGCATGGAAGGCTAAAAGATGTGTAGAAGAATGACTTATTAATTATGACTGATAATTAAAGGTAACATTTTATGTCATCTACTGTTACATATAAAATATAAAATTTGGCTCTCAAACAGAGCAGAAATGTGTCATTGGACTTGATCTGTAAATACTTGTTTATACCCAATTATTCATCAAAATATTAGCTCATTGCTGTTAAAGTGGTTTTTGCCCTTTGGGACTGGTAAGCTTTAAATTGACAGGTTTGTTCTAAAAAAAATCTGAAGTAGGCTTCAAGATATTCAAAAAAAAATCACCATACATCTTAATCACATGAGATGATGAGAACGTTCTATTTTACCCATTGCAACAAATATCATTATACTAAATTCTTTAGAATATCACATTTACATACATAAACCTAATATTGTTTATTAAAACTATATTATTACTCATAAAAAGCTAACCAACAATATTGTTACCTTCCAACCTTGAGGGAAACAAAGTTCACTATAAGGAAGACAACATCACAGACTAAATTGTATAATAGATCAAACTGATTGACCTTTACAAAGCAGAGCAAAATTAAAACTGATTTGAAAAATGTCTTATGAATAATCAATACTCTGCATAATTATTTTAACAATTTTAAGGAATATGTGCGTCTGTGAACAATATTGAGAAATTGTGAAAAGACTGATATTTGAGAACAAAATAAATCTACCAGTATGCCATTAATATTATGCACCTACCAAAAATAGCTGGGGGATAAATTGCTTCTCATATTTACATGCAAGTCCATATGATAAATCAGTGGCAGATCCAGAACTTTTTGTAAGGGGGGGGGGGGGGCCCGCTGACTGACCTAAGGGGGGACCCGCTCCAGTCACGCTTCAGTGATTCCCTATATAATCAACCAAATTTTTCCCACAAAAGGGGGGCTCAGGAAGACTACTGTGAAGATGATCCTATTTCTTGTGCTGTATTTAATTTACTTAAAGAGGGGATTGTCATTATCAACTAAGCAGAACAGCCTACAAAAAATGAACAACAAATTTGGAATAAAAGTAGAAAAAACATCATTTTCTAATGCTCCATTGTATTCATGCTTAAATAAAGGATATATTCCACTACAATAAATTTGATGAATGTAAAGTTTTGAATTTTCAGATACTATTACATAAACATCACTTCAAGGGGCATAAATGAATCTTACAGATCCCAAGTTTTTTTAATGATGTGCTTTCCATTGGGCATGGCAACAAAGCATACATGTACTCAAACAAACTGCTCTTAATTTGTAGATATAAGTTAAAAATACTAAATAGTGTTAATGCAATTATCACATTCTTATATAAAATATGCAAGTTGATAAACATTATCAAAGAGGTAGAAGGAATGCCTCGTCACTTCTCTTAAAGCCTTTATTCTTACTACTTGTGTGGTGAAATCGGACTGAACCTGTTTCATCATTAATATCATGATTTAGATATGCTGCATCACATTCATCATCAGAAATAATACTCTCATTCTCACTATTGTCATTTCTACTTGGCAATAATTGCATTCCTTTCTTGAAATGAAAAATAATATGGACAGCCATTACTGCAAGGGTTATCCAGCTACAAGCCTGTAACAAACAAACAATGAAAATTATGAACATGCTCACTAAGTATCAAGTTGATGTGAACTAAAACTTCATGGTAAACTACTATAAACCAACACTTTAACCCAATACTTTGGTTGGAGAGGCATAAAACTGCCATGAAACAATAGACCACTTTCGTGTTTGTTGCATTTCCGTCAAAAACTTTGGTGGTTTTAGAGAACATCATTCGTGCATTTAGGGACATCGTCACTTCCTTCCCATGTTGAGCACCTACAGAACAAACATTTTTTTCTAGATTAGCCTGAATAATGACTATCACGAAGATGCTTGATGAACTTTAATAGTGCAGGGATACAGGCGGTCCCCTTTATCTGGTAAATGACATCATAAAGGCATGTATAATTGACGAACTTTTCCAGTGAAGGACATAACTCAAAAGTGATCTATTGTCTTCAGTAAATATAACTAACGGTAATCAGATTCTTTACAGTCCTAAATTAGAAAAGAAAAAAATGGGGTACCATAGGGTAAATGAGTTAATTATCAAATTAATAAAATAATGGCCAGATGGTATCACAAAAGTAGTTCTTTTATTGCTGTTATCTATAGTTACATTTGCTTTATGGTGGTATCCAATGATGACATAAAACCCTCAAACTTTACAGAGTTGCAAGATGAAGTCAGTAATGAGCACGCAGAACTCTTTATTATTTATTGATAATTCTACATATGACCTTAAAGAACAGGTGGATCTAATCAACAATGAAACTAGTGAAGAATTCAAAAAATTCTAACATTCTAACCAGACAAACATACAATGTCAGAGCATCAAGACTTTTGGAGGGGAAACTTGACTAAGATAAGATGTGTATGTTATATGATGTAGTCTCACCTGTCCTAGCTGTAGATATCTATAGAAGGAATGTGTTCTTCCATCTGTATAAACTGACCAAACCAAATCTTCAACTTCTGAACATCCATATCTAAATTAGATATTTATAAATCAACTACACACTTTGAATTTAAATGAGCGTTCATTTACTCACTGAGTAGATAGTGCATGGATAGCATGGAAGGGTTTAAGGTTGAAATAGAAACTAATCCTTTTATATTATTCTCTCAAATCATTGTTTGAGAATCTAATCCATTCTAGGAAATGTTTTTAAATCCTACACCGTTACATAAAGATTAGTTGACAACTTTCAAAATATCTAATATCTATGGATATCCAATGAGGTATTTTGATTTTCAATTTTTTACACCAACAATAAGATTACCAACAATTCTTAAGATTCAAAAACAGCATTCATGTGTAAGAAGTCTGGATACATCTTTTTGTGGAAATTTCTTTTTGATTGAAAATGGATTTTTTTTTTCACTTATTGTGTATAAATTTTTTTTTAAAAATAACCAAAATGCAAATTGTATTTTTACTACCCACTTTTTAATATGCAAAAAGGACCAAAATACCTTTTTTGATCATCTTGGTCATTTTGCTGTTTACAGGTACTTTTTATCTACTATATATTTTGGCCAAAATGTAATAAACTGGATAAAAAAAAAATCATCATTTAAGTGCACTAAATCCGTAAGGAGTCATTCAAAGATTTGGTCATTTTGGAACTTTTGTAGATCTCATAGTTTCTACTTTCTACACAGTTTATGAGATAATTGGCAAAATTATAATAATTAGTCACAAATTGTCATTTAATGGCAATTACTTTATAAGGAGTCATCTAATGGTTCCTGTCATATTGGCCTTTTTGTAGATTTTGTATGAGGGTGTGGATGTGGGTTTAAAGAATAGAGAATAATGGGCAATAAATATAAAGAATAGAGAAAGATGGGCAAAAATAAAAAAAGAACAGAGAATAATGAGGTGCTAAAATATAAAGAATTGAGAATAATGGGCTAAAAAAGTATAAAAAATAAAGAAAAATGGCCAACAAAATCAAAGAATACAGAAATGCAATACAAAGAGGATTTAGATATTTTACAGTTATATTCCAACACCTTATAAAGGAATTTTGCTCCAGCACACAACTGTTATCCAAGAGATTTTCAATTTGTCATGGTCCATAGTTTTTTTCAGAATATAAGATGCTGCTATGCTGAAAATCAAAAGTGACCTGCATTTCCAATGAGATCAAGGCTTTTCCACAGGTAAAACATAAGTTATCAGCTAAAATATTAAGCATATATAAGATTTTCGTACTTATAGTACCTTACTCCTGAACCATAAAAGCAAGGCATATTGTTATGATAAATTAAGTTATAAAAGTTGATTTGTGAACTATAAGCAGGTGATTAATATATGTTTTGGACAGAATTAAAGACCAGTCCACAAAATGATATCTGACAAAATAAGTATCCAAGATATGTCAACTTTATAGCAGCTTACAAACACTTTAACAGTTTAAAGTTAGTATATTCTGTGTTTTCCACTATATTCACTATATTTTTCTGTTAAAAAATTGCAACATCAGAAGTATCCCTTTTTTGACAATTAATATATATACTATTAAAAATATTAGGAAAAACTATACATGTCTATAAAAAAAATGAAGTTCATGCATGCATATTTTACTGTGCTGGATATACATGAGGCCAAAAATAAAATTTAAGTTGTTTGATATTGCCTACCTACCCACTTAAAAGCAGCCTACCCGAAAAATTTATGACACAAATCGTTTTCAATTTTTTTAAAGGATTTTTTCCTGCTCTAACATCATTTTCTTGTCTAAAACATGTAACTTATTTTGTCGGCCAAACACTCTACCTACCTACCCAACACTATAAGTCATGAGTAGGCAACATCAAACAAAGAATTTTTTTAGGGTGACCTCAGTTAGGGTGGAAGTGTCACTTTTAAATCATAAATTTTCATAATCATGCAAGTGGAAATTAGAAGAAGAAAAAAAGACTCAGTGAAAATAAAGTAAATAAATCAAAATAAAAATGGGAAGCAAAGGCTGAAAAAAGTTCACATAGGATTTACTGGTAAAAATATTTTTTACCTTATCTACTCATGCAAAATATGGAGATGTAAGTTCATGTAACCCAATTTCAAGGATTTATGAAACATAAAGCAAAATCAAAAATATAATCTACACCGATCGCAGTCATTCTTATTGTGTTACATACATGACATAGTTAGTGCATTTATAAATACTTACATCAGTTTACTATACACTATCATAAAAATATAATATAAAATTTTATAATACACCATCAAGGCACTGACCCTTACACTGTTGTATAAATAGAATAATCTTACAGTTACCAACTTACAAGTGATTTTTTTCACAAAAACTCTTACGATTAAAATTTATCATAAGTTATACTGAAATGTGTATGACTTACAATTAATTTTACTCTGAAGATTTTTTGTGAAAAGAGCAGCTGACCTTTAATAAAATCTTTTAAATACAAAAAGTACAAATATACTAACAACTAATGAATGTACTGTTCAACAAATAGTTTATGAAATACCCAATCATATTGTTAAAGGTCAACTTCATGTAAATATTAGGAAAACATCAATAAATATGTGCTATATTTATGTGGTCTACAGCAGAAATAGTATAAAATTTCATAAAGCCATAGGTTCATGACACTGAAACTGCTTCAAGGTCTTTTGTTTAGTCTTAACAGGAAGTATAAAGACAGGGGATATTAAAGAACCCTTATAACTATTCTTGCCAATTAATGCTTTTGAATATCTGTTTGATTGTGCTGGATGTATAAATATCTATTCATACCTGGCCTGGGGAACTTGACTAAAAGTGATCTTTAAGAAGGTCATAAATGTATCAATCAACCAAATTTTGATATTTGGTCCTTCACAGGATTTTTCAAATTTTGTCATTGAACTTTTTGTCCAATTTTCTTCTAACAAATAAGAGAGGCAGTTGGGGTCAGCAACCATAATAGTTAAATGGGATGTCAAAGATTCTATTTCCTCAAAATTTGACACACACTGATCACTTACATGATATATTTCATACTTCTTGAACTGATTTTTTATCTAACTTTACCGCTATTTGACTTTTTCGAAGTACAATGTTGGTTTCACATCATGGACATCAGACAAAACATTGAAAATAGACCTCATATGAATAATTACAGGGTATGCAATAATATTTTAAGTAACAAAAACAAACATGTTTTTTTATAAAATGTGTGATGTTGAGTGAATATAGTTTACATCTATTGTAACTTCCTACTAACTACTTGTTATAAAATCTCACCTGTGTTTAAGAGCCTCTTCAATGTTACTGCAAAATTGTGACGTGCCAACCACTACAATACAGCTGGTTACAAAAAGGACAATGAATAGTATGATGTTTGTTACTCCTCCAATTATAAATGCTGCCAATACATTTCTGAAAGATAGAAAATTAAACAAGTTCAAATAAGGTAAATGATTAAAACCTCATTTATACCAAATATTATACTTTTCATTTGGCAGGTTAAAAATAAGAGACCAGTTAAAAAAGAAACACACATTGTTAGTAACAGTATTAAAGTGCATAGTCATCAATCACCTTTACATATTTATAAGTATTTATGTTTTGTCCCTTCTCTGTAATGTGTCCCATTTAAAATATATTTCACATAAGCAGAGTTAATAGTATATTGTATGTTTATCTTTCACTTTGAACTTATTTTTTCTTATGTCAGGCACTCAGCAGAGTCTTGTATGGATTTGTTTTTATCATCATATGAGTACAGATTCTGGTTATCATCAGTCCCTGTACAATGTATACTTTGTTTGTGCAAATGACAAAATTTACATGACTGCACAGTTAAACAATCTGGACACATTACTTTTGTCAGATTTATTGGTTGTTGCATGTTTTTACTGTTCAGTGGCAATGAATTCATGCATATTCAGGTCTAGGAACTATTAACAGTTAAAAACAAATTGTTTAAAGAGCAATTGAAGGTCTTTTAATCTTAAATTCAATTCTTTGGAGCACAACTCCTGTAAAAATAGTTCAAATTGGTCAGCACTCTTCCAAGACCTCCATGATATAAGCCTTTGATATAATATTAAACTTCATAAAAACTCTACAAGAAATGCAGGTGAGAGTGCTTACAATGCAATGGTCAATATAAATGTCAAAGAGACATAGATCCTGTAAAAATGACAGATCAGTCGACTGATTTTAGAAATTACCCCAAAACTTTGAATTTGTATGTAAAAGCATTTCTTTTTTTATCAATTTCAGCAGGCGTTTTTGCAAATATGACATTTTTGGTGGGTAAAACTTCTTTTTTGAAAAGCTTAGAAGTGAGTACACTATAAATTTGAAAACTCAATATTGTTAATCTTAAATTTACAATAAAACTTCGCAACTAGTTTTGTTGATTTTTTTCTATTAAAACTATCATTATAATTTAGCAGCAACTTCAGATTGTCCTACTGTCAATTATATTTACACTATAATTCACTATAAAACTTGAGACAAATGTAATGTTCATGTATCTTATATTTGTTTACGTTTTTTTGTTTTTGAAAAATTACTATTTCAACTTATTTATTCATTATTTGTACTGTAAAAATCTTTTCAGGAGATTTCCTTCCAAAAATGTGTGATTAGCAGTTAGAACAATATCGGGAAGAAATTTTCTTGCTTTTTACATTTTTTAAAGTTTTATAAGAATACTAAAATTCTGCTGTCATTAAAAGTCCAACTAAAACATATGAGTTTAATGCCTCCTGCTACCAAACAACAGAATGAAATCTATGATTTTTTTCTTATTTCTTTGTTATCTTATCAACAAAATCTGAAAAATTACATGTATTCCAAAAATCCATTCTTGATTTACCCTTCATACATGTATACAGTAATTTGTGCATGTGAAACAGAACTTTTGCAATTACCAATAGATAGTTTAAACATATTTTATTTGTTCAAGTACAAATTGGATAAGACACAAGTCAAACAGACTTATGAAGTCTTCTCCATTTAACATTTATAGCAATATAATACAAAATATATGTATGAGCATGCATGTATAGAATGGTATATCTATTTAATATATATATATGGATTTATGTCAAAAGACAGAAAAGTGAAGACAGAAAGAAAACAATAATACAGAAAAAATAAATAAATAAAAATAAATAAAGGAATATTTAGAAAACAAAAACAAAAAATAAAATACAAATTAAACAAACAAAATAAAAAAAAAAAGAAAAAAAAAGGAAGACTTTTACTTAGATGATGATGTGTGTGCGATCATGGTTTGCTATCTAGACAATTAGAAATCTTTCCGAACTTGGTTTGGTTTTGCTCTAGAGAAAGAAGATAACTACCCTAGGTTAGTAGTTCTATGTTAATTTTACAATCATTTGGAAGCCAGCGCAGACTTTCAAACATTTTATTTCGTATGTCTGAATATAATATACATTTAAAAAAGAAATTATAGGAATCTTCACGATTAACACCACAACGGCAAGAAGGGTCAGAAATAATATTGACCCTATATAGATCATAGTTTAAGGATGATGCAAAACATCGAAGTTGGGTTAGAATAATATTCAGTTTTCGAATTCCAAACTCATATTGCTTCAGTACAAATATGTTACTCTGAGGGTAAAGTTTTTTTAGGTTCAGTTTTAAATTTATTTATTGATTCCGCATCACGATATGAATCATCAAGATTATTCCAAAGACGTATGGTTGATGGAATAAATGAATCATTAGTCAATGCTAGTCTGCAGAATGGAATAATGATGTCATTTCCATTGCGTAGAGGATAGACCGTCATACTTTGGATTTTTGGGGGAATTAAATTTGTCAAATATTCTGGAACATTATTTTTTTTAATATTATCAAACATTTGAATTTTTCTTCTCTCTCTTCTTTCAGCTAATGTTTCCTATCCAAGTTCTTCATAAATAACCCTTGAGCTTGTGAATATAGGTAACCCCGTAACTATTCTAGCAGCTTGGAGCTGTAATTGCTCCAGTTTATTGATATAACCTACCCCAATATTATCCCAAACTTCACTGGCATACTCAAATAATGGTCTTAGAAAAACTAAATAGAGTTTTTCTAAATTTTTTCTGCTCAGTTTATATTTCAACTTCCTTAGCATATTTATATGTTTAGATGTGCTTAAGATAATATTATCAACGTGGACATTCCATTTAGCATCATTGCTAAATGTAACCCCTAAATGTTTATGAATATTTGTAATAGGTATATTTTTATCATTGAATATAAAGTTCATTTCTGGGATTTCCACATTAGAAAATAACATAATTACCAATAGATAGTTTCCTATCGAAATAATTTGATTTAGATATCCCATTAATTTGCCACCATGATAGAGGGCAACATGCACAAATTCTTTTAAAAACCAACCAAATTAAACTTGTGTGTTCACTCAACTTTTGAGAAAGTTGTTTTCTGAAACATTTACATTTGTGTAAAGCCTTCTTCAATTTATCACTTTGAAAATTTCCCCTTTAATTTATGAAAATAAACATTATTGCACCTCTAATAATAATTTGAACTTTGCGAGCTTTTTTCACAAATGACAAGTTCGTTATAGATGAATGAGTGATGACTTTGTAATTCTCTTCGAGAAGGGTACATGACCAGAAGTTAACTTATGATAAATATATAAAAACATCAACACCATTACTATTAATATATTTTTTTAAATAGGCAAACAGACTTTAGATACGGACAAACCCTAGCAGAACCAAACTAGGGGTAAGCCCCTTTTCTGTCAATGGTAAGGATACACTGTATATTTTCTTGGCTGGATGACCATCATACTGTAACATACCCTTCATCAAATATCGACATTCTCAACTGAATATGGAACCAAAGCCAAATAAAGGTGTAGATTCCAACCACAACAGGCGTGTATATAACATAGTAACACGTGCTTAGTTCGCCCCAAACTGATGACTTCAAGTCAACTGTTATTGTAGTCAAATTGTTGGGTCGTGTTACAGCAGTCAGAACTGGTTTGGCATAAAGCACACATTCTCCATGAAAATAGTTTTTAACGGATCCTACAGGAATGAAGGTACACATGCAAAATATAATAGTCAAACTATTTAGAACGATTGGAATGTATTTATCAGATTTTTCATGAACTTTTCTGGCAAATTTTCCCATTTTGATTTCGTTTGAGCAGACGACTTTCGGAAGTACTCTAGTATTTT